GGGGGGGGGGGGGGGGGGGGGGGGGGGGGGGGGGGGGGGGGGGGGGGGGGGGGGGGGGGGGGGGGGGGGAAGTGCTTGCTTGATACGCCGTACACAATGTTGCTTAGTTGTAGTATACGCCGCTGTCGCCGGTCACGATCGTGTCTTGAAACCATCGCTATCGACCACGCGCCTTCGTAAAATAATAGGAACGACCATCGACCATTCGAATGTAACGATTGCGGGTGCTGTTGAGGGGGGCAGCACGCGAAATCAAACATGGAAGCACTACCTCAAACTGGATGGAATAAGGACCAAATCGAGCGAGGAGGCGAGGGGGGTGTACTCATGGTCGTGCATGCCGTATTCTCTAGACCATTGACCTCGCACCCCTACCATCCCGAGACGGAGCGCGATACGCCGGGTTTTCGCCGGCCTAGGCTACGTTTCACAAGGATGAACCAGAACCTGCTGGGGTGGGGTGGGTCGGGATTTAGTGTGATTGTGATGATGGGGGGGGGGGAACCAAACAGAAAACCGGAGGTCAACCTAGCAAACAAAACTCACCTGTTCTCTACGGTGATGACGACCTCTCCGTCCGCACCGGCGATGCTGATGCCGATCGGGGAAGACCCCGACCCTGACGGAGTGAGCAGGTCCCCCTTCGCGGGCCTGGACAGCAGAGCCGCCATGACCGCGTAGGCGTCGCCGCCGGAGGAGGTCCGACTTGACGCGCGTATGATGTCGTGGCACACCTGCTTCCAAAATAACCCACCACAATAACCCACGAGAACCCACGCCCACAAACGCAACGCATCCGAAACATGAACAAAAAACAAAAAGAAGGAAGTGGGTGAGCGATTGGGTGCTTTATTTAGAGTACACAGCGCTGGCTGAAGACCAAAGACCAAAGCGAAAAAATAAAGAAAATATTCCTCCAAACATACAAATACAAGTAATGAAGCACTCCAGATAAAATTTATGTGTTTCGTACCACGAGCCCGAAAAACATTTACATACCGATACAACCATATTTCTGTCGGAATATACCGACAAAAAAAAAAACTGTCCCTCACCATTGTCAGCAAGTTTTAGACTCATAACGAGCCGGTCGCCCCGGTGGTCTAGTTGGTAACCTCGAAACCTTCTATAGGTTAGGTCAGGGGTCCGAATTCTGGCGTAAGCGAGCTTTTCTTGCAAAGTGAGTTTTTCTCTCGCTTCCGCTCCTGGCGTAGTGGATGGCTCTAGTTCGTGTGTGAACAGAGGGAAGAGAATGCTGAACTCTTCTCGCATTAAAAATCGAAGGCAAAGTACCGCAGGAGGAGAGGGTAGAGAGGGGCTCTTCTGTGTGACCACGGGATGGAGTAAACGACACTAGTGCTGTGAACACTGATTTGAAGTGGAGAAAAGGGAAAAAAAGAAAAAAGAACGAGCGCAAGTGCGCTCGAAAGCAAGACACACACACACATTCGCATTCAGCGCGTTGCGAAATTTTCAAATCTTGGCCCCCCTCCCTTTCAAGGACCGTTATTCCTTACCCGTCGGTATAGACGTCTTTCCGTTGGTCAGCTGGTTAGCGCGGCCAACTGAAACACAACACACAAAACGATACCATAAAACAGTAGTGCACACCAGGAAGAAAATAGATCAAGCAACAATATGGACAGGGGGCCGGAACGACCGCGAGCACGTGCAGAAGTACAAGCCTTAGCCTTGGTAGACACAGTTTTCCTCGTTTGCTACCGATTCCGTCTTCAATCCGGAGAGAGAAGTTTAGCCTCCTCCATGACGCCCCCTCACGGGGTCCCAGACCATGTGGCCTTCAGAAGCATTTTCTGTTCTCAGCCACAGTGAGACTGGGGTCTTTTCATTGGTCAGCCGGCTAGCGCGGTCGATCCTAGCACTACCAATAATGACGAACACATACTACACCAACACGTGACGCGTGCTGAGATCGACGTCTTTTCATTGGTCAGCAGGTTGGCGCGGATAGACGCTATTACTAATAAAGGCACAAGCGGCTACGACGGTTACGACGACATTCTCACGCACCGCTCTCGTCAGGGTCTCGTCCCCCACCACGAGCGGGTCTATCAGGCCGCGCAGCGTCTTCAGAAGCTCGTCCACGTTGCCCTCGAACAGCCGTCCGTTCATCTGTACCATCACGACCACGAGGAGGAGAAGGAGGAGAGAGGAGGAGGAGGACGACGACGACGACGATTAGAAAACACAAGCACACACTTCTTGAGACAAGAAAAAAACGGCAACAGGTGTGAATTGAAGTTGCCGCTACCGCGCAAGACGACAAGACGTCGGGCGACAGGAGCATACACAACCAGATAGCGGTGGAACGACGCGCTCGGGGTGAATGGCAAGCTGGGTTATTCGAAGGACGCATGCGCCTACAGCTGAAAAAAAAAAAACGTTGAATGGCATAGTTGGATCGATAGAGAGATTTAGGTTTTTGTTTGCTTGTTGCTCCGCAAAACAAACGGGACCAAGGGGACAAAGAAACCCGGCAACGACCGTCAACGCAAAATCCAGGCAGACGAGAATAAAAGCACATATGCCGACAGCAGCGGGGGTTCCTCTGGCTCCTCAGAACAGATGGAAGAAGAAACAATCCTTGTACTAAAACCAGGCACCAATCGCCGAGGCATCATGCCGAAACTATTTCTATTTCTCAGCTAAGACTGCACGGACTAAAATCATGCAAATTTAGGAACACTAGTCCAGAACACAAACGCGGCCCCAGACTGGAGCCCCGCCATAATCCAACAGACATAAGCAAAAAAAACACGCAAACACGCATAATTTCCGGGAAAAATCGTAATGCTCCATCGCTCGCCCCCCCGGTTCCCAACAGACCTTGATCGATTCCCACCATCAATGCCTGCCCCCCCCTCCTCCCCGTCCCCGGTGCCCAACAAAGACCTACCTCTATTGATTCCCTCTGCGCGTCCTTCAAGGCCTGGTCGTAGTCCACCGGCGCCGGCGGCGGCAGCGGGATGCCGAGCAGCGTGTGCCGAAACTTGGCGAGCACCGTGAGCAGCTCGTCATCGGAACCACTGACCTCCACCTGACGATGTTACACCAAAAGAAAAAAAAATCGACGAACCGTAAGGCGGGGCCGGCACCGTCGCTTCGGTGCAGTCCGATTGGGGCGCGGGCAGGATCCGACCAGATGGGCGAGAAGAAGGATTGCGAGGGTGAGACAAGCGCCGTTAAACCGCGGGCCGAGAAACCAGTACAGGCGGGTCGGGTCTCCCCCTCCCCCGTCTACGACAAAAAAAGGTAAGAAATTTTACGCCGCAAGCCACCAATCAGCACGTGCGTGCGCGCATCGAGCAGCAGCAGCAGCAGCAGCAGGACACGCCGTTGCCGCCGCCGCTGTCACCTCCCGTCGCACTCCTCGTGCTCACCTGGGTCTTGAGCGCGTTCCGAGCCATACCGTCGAGCTCCCGCAGGAGAGGAGCGTCGCCCTCACCCACGTCGCTCTGCTGAGCTGCCATCCTGCTCCAAACATAGGCGCAGAACAGGAGCGTCACAACGTGATAAATGGAGTGATGTTTGACAACATGGCGTAATTTTGGTCGGGGGAGTGGGGGGGGGGGAGGGGTAGGGGTAGGG